CATTAGTGCTGGTAATTTTCCGTCTGTCGGTAACGCTCGTTTCCTGTCGTCCCGTAAGCAATGTTTCGATGTCTGATATTTTCATCAGCCACCAGTTGTGACGCGTCATAAAAGTATCTCTGTCGACTATAAAGGATACACAACTATGGGTGATTTCGACGCACGGGTCGCATCGGTTTTAGTTTTGCAAACCAAAAAGGTCCGGGAGAGCTGTTCCTCGAAACGAAGCAAACTGTTCCCCATACTCTCAACGGAGATGGAATACCTCGGTGTTCATGGGATGACCAAACCACCGGATGTCCATTCACACGCATCCCTGCTTTTCATCAGAAATTCATGACGGTCTCTGCCGAACGAAGAACTACTTTTCAGTTACAGGAAAATCAATGCAAAAAACACTTATTGTTCAGCAAATGTATACTTTCTCATAAGGAGACTTCGGAACTATCTCGTCCGTGATCTTCGCTTCCGGGTGTTTAGAGTCCATTGGGTAGAGATAGTGCATCTCCGATTGGCGGGAAACGAACGCGACACTGAGGTGAGAATAAAGCGGTCTCAGATTCATGTAATGCGTTCGTCGACTAGTATGGTCTGCCCCCGAGTACGTGGCCATATAGCAGACCCAAAAACGTATTGTGGCAGTGAATGCAACCTGTTGGTAATAAGACCGTCACTCCGTCCGCTCCTTAAGGTTTTCTATTGAAGCCGCTGGCTTACTAAGAGCAACTGCCGACTGCACCTAAATTTGATTAGTCCCGAATTGAGAAAACAAGGCGTCTTGAAAACACCGCCTTCAATCTTATCTCCGAGAGTTGCTTTGGATCATTTGGATTCCCGCACCCAAGTTGTTTTCTAGCGGGTGGTGGAGATGGTAAAACACTGAAAGCAACGGGAAGTGTAGTAATTGATTTCACACATTTTTTCTACATTGTAATCTGCGATGTTTTTGTAGTTATTTTGTTGGTAAAAATGATAACGGTGCTAACTCGATCGAGATATTCTCAATTCTGTTATAGAACTGCCCTCACGGACGACCCACGATGAGGCACTTGTACCACTTGGGTCGTTTAGGCCTCACCGGATGAATTACCAACATGTTTTCAACCTCATGGACTACAGAAACTCGTTGTTGACACTTAAGCTCCCGTCCCCTTTCAGATCTTATTTCGATATTTTTATAGGATTTCTGAATTTTTTTATCCTTATTGCCACTTCATTGAGGCAATACAAATAAAACTGTACTTTAATGGCTTCTTTGTGTTATCGCACGAGTTGAACCTTGCATAACGCACTCCATTGATCGAACGTAGTTGCAGTCTGGGTTTTTTCCACTACAATGAGGGAGTCATCAAAATACAAAAGTATCCATGAGGTACTCGCGGTGTCTTACGCGACCAAAAGAATTTCGAGATACATCGAAACTTTGCCCTCTGGCGCATGATACCTGTCCTCGTTTGTCGAACAGCTTACTTCATGCCAGCAGTTGTCCCATCTCGTGACTCTCAATGTTCAGAGACTACTGTCACTATGGCTATGTGCATCACTGGAAGTGCGCAAACAGTTTACCGTTTATCATGCTCGTATCATATATTAGTCGTGAAATTGGTTAAACGCATGATCACATGCCTAGAATTAGAGAAGGCCCTCGAAATTCGCTGCACGTGACCCGCGGACACTACCGATAGTTTTTCCTAATGATAGTGTTTTTGAAGTTTACACACTTTTATGTATGTAATGAAGTAGATTTCTGGAATTAACGACGTTGAAGACGAACGTTGGTTCTAACCTGGAATTCGAATTTCAAGGTGGCGCTTGTGTAAACTATTTAGAAGATCGTGGTTTGTCACGAAACGGGCGTGCAAGTGTTTTGTGGTTGTGCTTTGCTTCTTCATGAGCTCCGGGTAGATGTATTCCGGTGTACGAAGCGCAAGAAGCCAATTTCCGTTCGTGTTGTCACCGAAAGTTTTCAGGAGTGTCTAATGAGCATCCCGTTTACTGAAGCTGACAGAGGACCTTTTTACGAACGCGATTTGTTTGCTTTGCTCCACACCCGGACCGCTAAGAGAATCACTGAATAATAATCAGTGAAATGTATATATATATATCAAATATATATAAAGATATGAATAGAAAAAAATTAAGAAATTACATGGAGAAAAGTTATCCGCTGATCATCTTTAATGGAGGTTTGTTCCCGGTTACTATATCCTCGGTTTGGTGAGACCGCGTCAGGACACCTTAGCAGTCGTACACGAGGAGGGCGGCTTTCCAAGCTCAGTACGGATCCACTGGCCAATCTGAAATTCGTCAGTTGAAAAGGAGAAAATGAGTTGAATTCGGGTAGATGCGCAGAGCAAAGCAAAACATACTAAAAACCAAATCAGCAGAACTGACACTGGATTCAGATTACGTAAAAAGCAAAAACCAAGGTAGTAAAACTTGGGACACAGCAAGAGTAAGCGGCAACAGCTCTACATAATATTGTAAAAACATGGACGGACGATATTGACCAGTTAGGACCCGTGCATGATGAAGGACGTGTTTACCCAATATTTCAATCACAAATAAGAGTCAAGAGCAAATGGGGACATATGTCGCGCGATGCTAACATTTCGTTTGCTGTTCTCAATCGCTGACGTAAAACAAACAAGCACATTGGATTTGTAAGTCGGACAGGCAAAGATAGGCAGGGGTTATCAAAAATTTGAAAGAAAGCTAAGAGGTCAACACCACGACCAATGAACGGATTGTGACAACAGCTTTTCAGGCGCACAGAATGCGACGATTTTACACACCTAAGTGTGACGAACCGCAGACGGGGCGAACCCCATAGTCTCACAGACCTGCTGTTCATTGTTTTCGTTACACGAAGTGATTTACAACGAAACGGGTAAACCCCATAATCAATAATATACTGTAACGAGGAGGTATGTGGGGGAACATTCAAGTGAGAATCAATTTGTTAATCCTTCTTTTGAAAAGGGTAAGGTTATAAGAGCTTGGAAGTGTTAATCGCTGCCCAGTTTTGTGAAACTGACAGATACCAATATCACACACGGTAGGTGAACGACAATTATCAAGGCCATGCATTGCGAACTATCAACCTCACTTTACTTTACTGCAGCTGGCTCTTTGGAAAGGATAAGCCGGCTCCAGACATGCCCATGATCATGAAGTTCCTTGGGACTTTGGTACAAGAGACGTCCCCAGCGTCACTCGGCGTTTTTTTATTTTGAGGGCATACCTCTAGCATTTGCACAAACAAGTGTGAGATGCAAAGCAGTAGGAAGCCATCCCCCGCCTCGGAAATGAAGGGGTCAATGACTTTAGTTTTAAAGGGCCAGTCACATCGACCTTTGTGACAGCACCGTCATTGGGCGTATGCGGCTTTTAAACAGGAGCCAGGTGACCAGCCAGAAACCCACCACATCCTGGGTAGTGCCACCGCTGTTTGTTCGCGACTGCTTATTTGTTGCGGCATGCCACAACTTATTCACAGCTAAACTTCTTCGGCGAAGGTATCCCCCTATCCACAACCCGGGGACGCGCCTGGTAGCATTCAGCTCTGCTTAACCCCAGGGATAAAACGGTTCTAGAATAACTTAGCTTAGAGAAGGTTTAAGCGTGACCTATTTGGTTTCTGGATACAGTAATACGTTTTTGTGTCATCATCAATCAATCTGGATGGTTTAGTTTAGTTGCGAAAAAACACGACGACATTTTGAGCATTTCGTGAACTATGGAACTAAAAACACGGGACGATCAAACGCGAAACTCACAGTTATCAACTGTTCCAGATTCAGTCCAGTCGGTAAACCATAACCTTTGTCCCGAACGTAACGCACTACCGCTTCAGTGGCCACATTTCCGGGGGCACCTGGGCCGGCGTATGGGCAACCTCCGAGGCCACCTATTGCAGAATCGATCACCCGAACCCCATGCGAATCCAGGGCAACATCAATATTGGCCAAAGCATTTCCACCCGTGTCGTGACAGTGTACGGCTATTGCTTCACGTGGACAGGCGCCGCCGCGAGACAAGAGCACTGTGAGCAAACGATTCATGCTGAAAAATGATTGAGGGTGAGTGCTGTTATGAACGATTGAAAAAAATGATAATTTACCCATAACTCTCAATGCATAGCAAATGCTGTGATGAGGTAGAGGTTCACAAATGCTCAGTTATATACTAGCCCGAGCATCAATTTTCAAAAAAAGGAGGACTTATTCCGCGATCGTTTGTTTTGCGGGCTGAGGACTGACAATCTTATCACGGGGCTGAATGCGCAAACAAGAATGGAGATCTGATTGAATGACAGTTCGCTCGATGGAATGGGCAGCGCGGTCCTCCTTATCCTGCGCGACGACCGATGCAGTGTGGAATATTTTTGTTGGTGTATGTATTAGAGTTTCATGGGCGGATACTGCCAGGGTGTCCAGCCACTAAGCAGGAGAACGATTAGGGTTCTCGTCCAAAGCCTTTGGTTCTAAAAAGACCTGACTGACAGGCAGTGCGTGAAGCATACTAGAGGCCCATTTACTTGGATCAATTACTCCTGTACCGTTTTACCGACTGAGAGGCTAACTCGAGTCGAACCCCCAACCTGGAGGATCAGTAGACTGAACTTCGTCTGACCTCTACCTTTCGACCTGCGACTTCATAAAAACCATCCTATGTAGCTCGTCGGGTCACGGAGGTGCACAAGCCATCACACCACGTCAAGGTGCAGCCTCGTCGTGATGGTTCTCTAAATTGTGGAACACCGAGCAGAACTTCTCTCCGTGAGGGGATTCGATTGCCATTCCCATGTTCAAATGGTCCGCGCAGTGACTACGCCAATCATACGGGTATAAGTCTAATCTCGATCGCGTCAAACCTGTTGGCGTCCGTCATTCTCTGCCGATTGTGTGCCATG